ATAGTACTTTTCGAGATCTTAGAACACAGAATTAATTTTTAAATTTAAAGATGACATTTTAGGTTATCACACTTAGTCAGTATTTTATTCTAGCCTCAATCCTAGTCATAAATTAAGGAAAATCAATATACAAAGTGAATATAAATAGCACATTTTAGGCTGATGTGAATCTAAGTCTAACCGGACATAACATGAATATATCTACGTACAGGCTCTCGTCACTTCATGCGTACGTAGCTCCCACGACAAGTAGCACACAACAAGTAATTCATCAAATGGAATAATTCCATCTTACAAGATTAGGCAAGAGACTTACCTCGCTTCCTAGCTCAGTATCCGACTCTTAACCTCACTAGAAATCCCCAAACGACATCGAACAATCCGAAACTAGTCAAAAGTTGTATAAACTAATCAACATACGCTCAAAATTTCATAACTTAACAATTAAACTAATTTCCCAACCAAATTCGGAAAGTCCATAAAAGTCACCCCCAGGCCCACGTGCCTAGATTTCAAAAACTTTCGAAGATAAACGATACCCATGACATTACGAACCCAAATATATAATTTATTCCCAATTCCATAATCAATTTCATGGTCAATCTTATTTTTATCAAACCCCAGGTTTCCAACCAAATCCCATAATTTTGACTAATTCCATATTAAAATATACCAATCCATGTATTTAACTCAAAAATGGGTAGGATTCACTTACCTTGTGATGCTTGATGATAATCCTCTCAAAAGAGCTCTCAAAATCGGCCAACCCAAGTGAAAATGAAAGAAAATAAGCCAAATCTCATATTAAAAATCAAGCATGTCCATCGATTCCTTCTTCGCGGTCGCGGAAGGTCCATTGCGATCGTGAAGACCAACTTCTACCACTGACCAAAAATACCCTTCATGCTTGCGACCTCATGGTTGCATTCGGGATGACCAACTAACCCTGCCCTTTGCATTCGCGTTCCACCAGTTGCGTTCGTGAAGGCTAACAGCCTACCAGCCCCATGCCTCTCCTGCCTTCTTCGCGTTCGCGGTTTGGCCTCTGCGTTCTCTAAGAGTAGCCAGGTTCTCCTTCGCGTCTGCGGACCATTCTTCGTGTTCGCGTAGGGAAATCAGCTACCCCTCCAAAATTACTTCTTCGCGATCGCGGGATACTTTCGCGATCGTGAAGCATACCAGCACACCAGCAAATTTTCAGCCAACTTTAACTTGCTACTGGTGGTCCGAAATACACCTGAGCCACCCGGGACCCCGTCCAAATGTACCAACAGGTTCGTAAACACACTACAGACTTACTCAAAGCCTTGACACACATAAAATAACCTCAAAACTATGAATAGAAGCTCAAAACCCAATTAATCAACTTCTAATCTTCAAACTCATTTCAACCAACTCCGGACACGATGAAACATACTTAGACAATTCGAAATGATGCCAATTTTACGCACAAGTCATAAATCTTTATACGAACCTATTCCAATGCTCGGAATCCCAAACGAACATTGTTCACACCGAAAATCCACTTCAAGTCAAAGTTAGGAAATTCCAAAACCTTTAAAATATCAACCTTCAACAATAAGCGTTGAAATGCTTCCGGCCGACCCGAAACTCGATCCGAACATACGTCCAAGTCTAGAATTATTACACGAACCTATTGGAACCTTCAAATCCCAGTTCCGATATTGTTACTAAAAATATTGACTCGTGTCAAACTTAACTACCTTAGGCCACTATTATGAAATTAAGTGTTCCGAATTCAACCCGAACCCTTTCAAAACCAAACAAACCATCCCCACAAGTCATAAAACAGTAAAAGCACATACGAAAAGTCTTTAATAGGTTACATGAATCTATAAAGAAAAATGACTGGTCGGGTCATTACAGATATTGTGTCAAACGAAGGGCTTACATCCCTATAACCATTTTCTATTGAGGCGAGTGAGGATAAAGCGGAGGTCCTGCTCGAGGACATCTCACTTGGTAAAGAGTGGGTTATGAAGGTAAATGTGGGCATAGACGCCGTGGAGATCTTTACAAAGATAAGGAAAACTATCACTACCTTAGATTACATACTCATGGAGGAGCTGAGCACTATCGATACCATGAAGGCTAAGATGGAGGTACTCGAGAAGAAAATTGATGCTGGCATGATCTAGGCAGCCAGCAATATTATTGTGATGAGGGAGACTAAGATCAAGGCTTCTAATCCATCAATGTTCAAAGGTATTCATAATGCACAAGAAGTGGAGAACTTTCTTTGGCACTTGGAGAATTACTTCAAACATGGAAAAATGAGGGATGACGGGGCCAAGATCAATACCGCTATGTTGTACCTCTCAGAGATTGTCGTAATGTGGTGGCGTTAGAAGTATGTCAACATGGAGAAGGGTCTATGAAAGATTGAGGTGTGGGAGCAGTTCAAGAAGGAGTTGAAGAAGTAATTCTACCCGATGAATATGGTGTATGAGGCTAGGCGGAAGCTAAGGAAGCTCTGATAGAGGCCACAATTCGAGAGTACGTGCGTGAGTTAACTATCTTAGTGCTGCAAATTTTGATATTATCCGAAGAGGATTCCCTCTTTTAACTTCATGGATGAGTTGCAAAATTGGGCGAAGCAGGAGTTAAGAAGACATCAAGTAGCCAAAGTGGACGAGGCCATAACGGTAGCCGAGTCGCTCATTGACTTCAAGATGGAGCCTGCCAAGTCCAAAGGGGGAAACGCCGAGAGAAATGAATGAGATCATGACAAGAACAAGAGGAAAGGCATAGTCGAGACACGCAAAGGCAATGGAAGAGGTCCATCCCATGACGGACCAGGGTCCAAGGGCAACGACAAGGGGCTAAACAGTAGTGGTTTACGTTCCCAATGGAGGGTGCTACTTTTGTAAAGGGCCACATTATACATTCCCAAGGAAGGAGCACCTACAGTTGGGGAAACTTGCAGTAATGGTTAGAAACTTTGCGCAGGAATATGAGGATGACACAGGAGAGGCCTCCTACATCGAACGGATGTGCTTAGAATCTAATCCAAGAGTAGGGGATTCCAAGGCCTATCTTGACACTATGCAAATGGAGCATGGTGGTAGCAAGAAAAGTTGGATGGATATAAGTGAAGAGAATGGCGAGTTTCAAAGTGATGGCACATTATCGGACATAGGCGATGCTCCAAGCGGAGGGCCTAAGCTTGCTAACAAGGCTAGGACTATAAAGAACATCCAAGTAGGGAGTGGAAACATTGACTTGATGCTTGAGAAGCTGCTAGACTTAGTCAAGTCTTAAGGTGATTCAAGCCAAGAGCAAGGGGAGACATCCAATTGTCGGAGGATCGAGGCCATCATTACTAGCTGTCCAAAGTACAAACGAGAAAAGAAGAAAGGTGACCGGAACCTTGTGATATGGAAAGGCAGACCACTCCATAGGGCATCATGGCTAATGGATAAAGATCTTCGAAAATGTCAAGGCAAGGTGCGCGCGTACGTATCGATGCTTTATTCTGAGGGCGACACAAAATTGGGTAGGAGGGAGTGTCATGACTCACCACATCATCATACCACATATGTGCCATTTGACATATATTTATTTTGTATGGAAAGCTTACATAGGAATGTGGCTAACACTTGTGGGAAGGTTCTAGAGAAATATGAAGATTTCCCTTAGAAGACCCTAGAACCTTATGAATTTGCTAGGAAAGTTCTCAGGAGATTCTAGCTATGTAGAGAATTATAGAGGGGACTTACTTGTAAATAATAAGGGGCTTGTATAATAATTATTATTTATTCCCCTTAAGAGACTAGTATATAAAGGCGGCTATTCATTTGTAGCGCATTAAGCAAACAATTCAAGTTCTTTCCAAAATAAAGCTTTCTTTGACAATTCTCTTGTATTCTATATATCATTCCCTTAGCGATTCCAAGTGTCTTAGGCTGACTTTACATAGCAAGATGAGAAAGTTGTGCAAGAACGTGAGCAAGTTATCAAGTGTCGCACGTGGACTTAGTTTAAGACAAGGACGTAACAACAGTCTAAAGATGCTTTTAACAAACTAAAAGTTTTATGAGAAAAAAATAGACCATGGTTAAAATTTTGTTAGCTTTTAGACTACAAATATTAGACCATAATCTAATATATTATAAGCAATTTAAAATTATATGAGCAAATATTAGGACCGAGTCTAATGTTATTTGAAAAGGTAAGTTTTCAAAAGTTATATGTACACAACTTTTATTGGACAAAATTTAATATAAAGCCTTAAAAAAGACACATAACTAAAAAATATTTATAATCATGCATCAAAATCTTCTTGAGTCATCAATTTGGCCAAAAGTATTTTTTATTATCGAAATTATTTTTTTTAAAAGTTAAAGTGTTTGGCCAAATTTTTTTAAAAAAATAAATTACTTTTAAATTAAAGTAGAAATTATTTTTGTGAGGCTGAAAAATGTAACTTCTCCTTAAATGCACTTTTCAAAAGAAACTAATTTTAGAAATTTGGCCAAATAATTTCTAAGTTACAGTCAATAGTATAATTATAATACCAGCCGGTAGCAAGTGACACACAAAAAGTGGAAGGCGAGGCAAGGTTAGTTCAAGCATGTCGTACGCGCGTCGGCACAACTTGCATTTTCAATAACCTCCTTTAGCATTCATTGGATTTTACTTCCCAGTTTCCCACTGGTGTGTGTCTCTCTCTCTCTCTCTCTCTCTCTCTACTTTCATTATCTTCTGTTCATGTTCTATGTTCATGCATCAATAATTTGCAAATTACCACTTCTCCTTTTTCTCATCAATCAGCCACCTTTCTTCTGATAAGATAAAACCACTGTTTTGTCCTACAAACTCATCTTCAAACAAACAACCTTTTCACTTTCTTCCTTCTTTTCCCACAAGTAGTCCCAGAGGCCAGATCCCTCCCAGATGTAGCCCTTTTCTTTCTTTAGCCTGCCCTGAGTTCATTCTCAGCTGGCTTGATAAAAGAGTTTGAAGAATTAATTAAAAATATGGCCTTTGCAGCTCAACAAAAAAAGGCCCTTCATTCTATGTTATCAAGTAAACTCACCCACCTCAAAATCCCAGATTCCTCTTCTACTGATCCAGACTTTGATTTCTCTGAAGTTTTTGGTCCTCATACTTCTTCTTCTCCTTCATCATCATCTTCCAATTTTCTAACTGACCCACAAATCATTCACAGTAGGTCCCACTCTTTTGTGGGTCCCTCCCCAAGATTCACTCTCTCGTCAAAGACTCTACCTTTACACCAAGAAGTTGATTCTGAGGGTGAAAATGATAGTGATAAAGTTGATACTCATAGTCTTGAAATTAGTGGAGATAATAAGGGAGTTAGGAAAATAGGGCCAGGGCATTTTGAGATGTTGAGGATGATAGGGAAAGGTTCTTTTGGGAAGGTTTTTCAGGTGAAGATGAAGGGTTATGGTGATGATGGTGATAGTGATGATGGGATATATGCTATGAAGGTGATGAGGAAAGACACAATTATAAAGAATAATCATGTGGATTATATGAGGGCTGAGAGGGATATTCTCACCAAAGTTGAGCACCCTTTTATTGTTCAGCTTAGATACTCTTTTCAGGTAATACTTGTAGCTTTTACTGGACTTGCTCATGTTGTTTATTCTATTTCGAATTGGTGGGTATATTAATTTGACTGCATAGATAAACATTCAGCATATCTTGGTGAGAATAGATTTAGTTGAATACTTAAGGTGATCAATGGGGGATCCATATAACCGACCTCAACTTGTTTGGGATTGAGGCATAGTTGTTGTTGTTGTTGTTGTTGTTCTATCTTGGCGAGAATAGTGTATGCACATTAAGGGAGTTAGCTAAATGTTATTCCAGCCATCAATCTGAATTGATGTTAGAACTAGATGATCTTATGAATTAGGGGTTATTTGGTTCTGAATTAGAAGCTGAATTTAGGCCTATGGTTTTGTTCTTTCATTAATTTTATGTTAAGGAGGTATTTTAAAGGCGAGCTCTTTTACTTTTGCCTCTCTCTGTGGGGAAGTCTTTATAAATAAAGAGCAAGCTCTTTTGGTATCTGTTTGATTTCTAATGTCATCCATTTGTCACCCATGCCTTTGTTTTGTGCTGCGACAACATGAGCAAGTTTTGAGCTTTATTAGTAGTTAACCTTATTAATTACTAGTGAAATTAATTTCAAGTGGAATAGCTGTTCTTTTTGTCTAGAATCTAGTAAGTTCATTGAGTATTTGATACGATCTTTTAGCGGATTTGTTTAGACAATTTCAGAGTAAAGCTCATTTTCTCTGTTGAATTTCTGTTGCGATTTTTTTCTGTTTTAGTTTCCATGTTTTCTTTGACTTAGATTTTTTTCTTCGATCTTCAAGAAGATTTATTTGGACAATTTTAACGTGAAGTTCAATAACTTTCTTGAAGTTCTGTTGCTGTAATTTTCTTCTGTTTAGTTTCCATATTTCTCAATGTTTTTATGTACAGATTTTGTCTTTCCTTGGTATACTCATGATTTTGCTATTGATCTTTGAAATCATTGAACAATGTTTGTTGATGCCTTTACAGTCTCAGACCAAGCTTTCTTGCCCTATGACGTGGTTTTTTTACAATGTCTTTCCTTAAGTTTTTTATGTTGGAATATGTTGCAGACGAAGTCTAAGCTGTACTTGATTTTGGATTTTATAAATGGAGGACATCTTTTCTATCATCTATACAGACAAGGGATTTTCAGGTACCCTTGTGTATGGCTTATTAGCTAACGAGTCATGATACTGCGTTCAGCTCTTTCTAACTTCAGCTCTTGTGTGTGTTTTGGGTAGTGAGGACCAGGCAAGGATTTATACTGCTGAGATAGTTTCTGCTGTTTCACATCTTCACCAGAGAGGGATCGTGCACCGAGACCTCAAACCTGAAAATATTCTCATGGATGGTGATGGACATGTAACGGCCTTGCCTATTGTACTCTACTGCTGAAACATGACTGATGCATGAAAGAAAATAGAAATAAGAAATATCATTTTTCCTTTGAACTTTGCAGTTAATTTCGCCCTCTTGTTAAGCATCTCTCATTTTCCACCCAGGTCATGCTGACAGATTTTGGACTGGCAAAAGAGATTGATGAATCAAGCAGATCAAATTCGATGTGTGGAACCACGGAATACATGGCTCCAGAGATTTTACAGTCAAAGGGCCACAATAAAGATGCTGACTGGTGGAGCGTTGGGATACTTCTGTATGAGATGCTGACTGGTCAGGTAATCTAAGTATTTGCAGTAACATTAGAACACTAAAATCATGCAGTTTTGTAACAATGCAAAAAGCATAGACATCTCATTGGACATTCTATGGAGCTTATTTGTTATGAAATGTACTATTGATTGCATTATTGTTTAGAAAGATTTTTGTTGGGTCTATTGGAACACTTTTGACTCTTGTTTCTTTCAGCCACCATTCACACATTCAAATAGAAAGAAGCTTCAGGAAAAAATCATCAGTGAGAAAGTGAAACTCCTACCACGTCTGACCGGTGAAGCTCACTCTCTGCTCAAAGGAGTATGTACAAACTATCAATTGACTGCTTGCCCAGACTTTTATAGAAAAATGCTTGTAATTCAACTGAATGACAACTTCTACTTTTTTCCTTTAGTTGTTGCAAAAGGACCCATCAAAAAGATTAGGCAGTGGACCAAGAGGAGGGGATGAGATCAAAAGTCACAAGTGGTTCCGGTCAATCAATTGGAAGAAATTAGATGCCAGAGAACTACAGCCTAAGTTCAAACCAGATGTAATTGGCAGAGCTTGCACTGCCAATTTTGACAAATGTTGGACTACGATGCCACCAGATGACTCACCAGCAAATACTCCGACAGCAGGCGAACACTTTCAAGGGTACACTTATGTAGCACCAAATCCTTGGCTCTCCTCTAGTTGATTAAGACTGTATCCTGACAAAATTTCGAACTCCTTTTGTTTGCTAGTGTAAGCTCATTCTTTGTTACAGAGAGGATCATGAGAAATATATGGATTAGATGTATGTTGATAAAAGCAAACTCTTCTAACTCTTTTGTTTACTATTGTAAGCTCATTCTTCTTATGGACAAGATGTGAGAAATAAACACATTTGTCTTTGATCGCGTAGCTCTTGTGTTTACATATATGTTTCCTCTCAAGCCTATTTGATTCTGCTCTCTTGAAATTGTATTTTCTTGAAAATATGTTTACCGCAAGAGAGTGTAAGAATGTGTTCACAGACAAGCTTTTCCACCACAATCGTGTTGCACCATTGTAGGATCACAGGACGGAGGATGGTAATTGCGAGTCTGATAAAAAAAGGATAGAGGATGGTTACTATGGTCTATACTCTAAAATAGTGTCTCTTGTTACCGGGTGTGTGGGATTGTACTTTGTTTCCTTATCAAAAAGTATCTCTAATTAACCAAGTTAACTGGACATCAACATGCCTAAATTTTCACTTGAGGCATTGAGAGTGCACATGTGAAGGCAATCTTAAAACAAGAATCTCTGACATTTATAATTTCATGGTTGATATTCAGTGAACGTGGAACTTTAGCTGCCAATATTCCAGACAGCATGGCTCATTAGTTCTCACTTATGTGATGATTTCCGACATTTCAATTTCAAATTGTTATGAAAATTTATCAAAGTTGTTCAGTATTCAAGAACTCTAAATGACTTATGTATGATTCACTACAAATTATGTGTGCTGGATATATGAAAAGAGAGGATATACAAGGCTTTGTGGCTTAATGCAAGTGAATTGTATCACAAGAATATTGCCATTCACAACTGAATACAAGAGCAAATTGAGAGTAGTGTTGGTGCACTAGTGAAGTGTACAAGTGTATACCCTTTAGGGGATGAGTTTGATTTGTGGGTTTTTATTTCCTTAGTATCTATTTCGTTTTACCGGAGATATGTCTCTGGGAGAATCTTCTTGATTCTTTTACATGGTTGCACAATCTTATTCAGTATTAGTTGAGAATGGTAGAAGGTGTATTCCCACTACTAGTTTTAGGAACTGGTGCGACATCAAATGATGCAACTGGAAAAGTTGTAGTCACTCTTGTGATGAGTAAAGTAGTGCTCCTTTGAACTCTATTAGGACATAACTCTAGTCATGTATTTATGAATAGATGAGTGCCACTCTTATGATCTTGAGGGTGTTAAAGGTGTCTGTTAGTCATATGAAATTCTGAAAGATAGCTTTTTCTTTTATTTCTTCTGCCTAATATCTGATATTTTCTCCCTGTACCTTGTTGGTTGCTGATTCTGCTCACTCTTTCAGTATCTACAAATACCTGTTTTTGACTACTGATTTATGGCTCAAGAAACGTTATACATCTCTCTTATATTTGACCAAGTACCTCAATTGTTTTTATACCTGTTCTTTCTTTCTTCGGGTTAATACTAAACTTTATCAAAACTAAATAAACAAAGGTAAACGAATTTTCCTTTTTATTGGACGTTAGTTTCGCAGATTTTTTAGTTCCACGTCAATTGCTTCCCCTAGAACCTGAGGGTGTACATGAAAAGTTTATTCAACCGAAGAACTGTACACATGCATGTATAAGCATCACTATATCTTGCTTCATAACAAATCTGCCATAGCAGTGAATTAAACTAGAGATGTTTATAGATGCCGGGACGTTCTACTACGGAAGCTATCCACCTTATCAGGAGGTTGGTGAAACAGTACAGGGATAGGAGGAGGGATTTGCACATGGTGTTTATTGACCTAGAGAAGGCGTACGACAAAGTCCCTCAGGACGTGCTTTGGAGATGCCTGGAGGTGAAAGGGGTGCCGGTAACGTACATTAGATCGATAAAAGATATGTATGTTGGAGCTAGGACACGGGTCAGGACCGCGGGAGGTGAATCAGAGCTGTTCCCTGTGGTTATGGGGTTACACCAAGGATCCGCGCTTAGCCCGTTCTTATTTGCCCTACCGATTGATGCCCTGACACACCATATTCAAGGGGAGGTGCCATGGTGTATGTTGTTCGTTGATGATATAGTTCTGATTGATGAGACGCGAGGAGGCGTTAATGAGAGACTGGAGGTTTGGAAGCAGACCCTGGAGTCCAAAGGTTTCATGTTGAGTAGGACAAAAACGGAATATCTGGAGTGTAAGTTCAGCAGCGTGACGTGGGAAGCGGACATGGTAGTGAGGCTCAATTCACAAGTCATCCCCAAGAGAGAAAGTTTCAAGTACCTAGGGTCAATCATCCAGGGAGATGGGGAGATCGACGAGGATGTCACGCATCGTATTGGGGTGAGTTGGATGAAATATCGGTTAGCATCTGGAGTCTTGTGTGACAAGAAGGTGTCATCGAATCTCAAAGGTAAGTTTTACAGAGCGGTGGTTAGACCGTCTATGTTGTATGGGGTTGAGTGTTGGCCAGTGAAGAATTCACATATCCAAAAGATGAAAGTAGCCGAAATGAGTTTGTTGAGATGGATGTGTGGGCATACTAAACTAGATAGGATAAGAAATGAAGATATTCGAGAGAGGGTGGGCGTGGCCCCGGTGGACGACAAGATGCGGGAAGCAAGGCTTTGGTGGTTTTGGCACGTGCGAAGGAGAACCATAGATGCCCCGGTTAGGTGTGAGCGGTTGGCTTTGACAAGTACGAGAAGAGGCAGAGGGCGGCCTAAGAAGTATTGAGGCGAGGTGATCTGGCAGGACATGACGCGACTTCAAATTTCCGAAGACATGGCTCTTGATAGGAACATGTGGAGGTCGAACATTAGGGTGGTAGGATAGGGGGTAGTCGAGAGTTCTTCCCTCTTTGTACCGGGTAGTCTGATAGAGTTTTGTTTAGGTTTGTTAGCGGTCTATGTTGTGTTCATATTGTTGTTTTGCATAGTTTTGTGTTATTGTACTTTCACTTATTCGTTGCTGTTATTATCTTTCCGCCATCTTTTGTTGTTACAGGCCTTTCCTTTTGTTTCTTTTATGATATTATTGTCTCTTCTGTTGAGCCGAGAATCTCTCGGAAACAGCCTCTCTATCCTTTTCGGAATAGGGGTAAGGTCTGCGTACACTCTACTCTCCCCACCTCACTAGTGAGATTTTACTGGATATGATGATGATAATGATGTTTATAGATACACTAAGATCGAAAGGTTATGGTGTTTATCTCGGCAATTAACTGTTAATTGCTTAGGATGTGACAGTTATTTTTTTGTTAATAGTATTAAGTTGTCTCCGATCAGTGAGACTTTTAATGGTATCACTCCGGGAAAGGAATGAAGGGTTGCGTTAGAGTAACGATCAAGTTGTTTACGTGTGACCTATAGATCACGGGTTTGAGCCGTGGTATCATCCACCGATGCTTTCATCAGGGTAGACTGCTTATACATACCCATTGGGGTGCGGCTTCTCCGGACCCTACATGAGCGTGGGATGCTTTGTGCATGGGAACAAGGTTGCTGAAAAGGAACTCTGGTAGATAAGGAATATCATAACCATGTGAAGTAGAAGTGTTCTATATGTATCCTAACCATGTGAAGAAGAAGTGTTCTATATGTAAAAGTTTGGTCTGCATGCTCTCTTGAATAAGCTGGCTTCTTGAAACTTCTAAGAGGCAGGCACTTGTGATGTGTGAATAAGATGGTTTTCAATGCATAGTCCTTATCCAGATATTTTGAAAAAAGTTGCATAAAGTTTGGAATCAGTTGATGAGCACTGGTGACTACTTAATGTGAACTTAAACAAGTTATAACTTCATATGCCTTATGAAAAGTAGAAGGCATCTTATTCCAGTTACTTTTAAATGGATAACTTAGTTGTGCTCATAATCACCAGATT